GGGGGGGGGGGGGGGAATTGAAAGTTGTATCGAAGTTTGAGGGCTTTTGGATTGCTTTATGGTTTGGGAATTCAGATGTTGTGGCTGCTGGGAGTCTAGGGCTTATGGCCTAAATTCCACATCCTCAACCCAGCAGCAAGCAGCAGTGACATGTTTGTAGTCGATATGAAGAAGCACAGGGACAGCAACGGCACCACCTAAGTTCACTACTGCCATACTAGTAGGAAACACACGTAGAGCAAGAATGCCAGGACTCCTAGTGAAAAGCTTGTCTTACTCAGGCCAGCTCTATACTGATTTAGGGTTTAGGGTTCAAAGAGGGTCGTGCATCGTCAGGTGCACAGTGACAACTGTTCTTGTCTTGGAGATCGCTGTTTGACTTCCGATGCTCTGTCAGGTTGAGTTGCCGGTGGGCCTTTGGTGGCCGACTTTTCCTGAATGTCAAAAACTATGTAACTTTGTGGTCGGAGTACTTAGTAACCCCCTCCCCACGAGTCACGAGCCTATTCTAGCCATAAAGCCCCCTGCAACACATGCCGAAGATTACCCTCACATGCCCACGAAACGGGCAGCGAGCCAAGAGCGACAGGGCAGAAAGCCTTCCAATTGAGTTGTCAAGAGAAGTCTGCAAGAAATAGCCCTTGGTTGGTGATGGAAAGTGTCTCATGTGACTACTGACAAGAATGCAGGGAGCTGTCATTAGATTCTTGAGTTAGGCCACAGTCAGGCCTCAGGTTTGCATTCACGTGCTCTGCAATTCAGAACAGCTCATCAGGACATCGGCGATTGGATCACTGGGCATGCCTCCAGGCCAGTGGCTTATAAACTCGGCCCTCAAACGTCGAAGTCTGCATTGTAAGTAGAACCGTCAGTGCACCCAACTTTCAAGCATGCTTCTTTCGTCCTTTCTTGGCGGGCTTGCATTGCAATCGGGTTGATGGGCTGGTCAGCTCCTATGTATTATTGTGAGACAGGGGGATCTGGGTCATTTTCGCGTTATCTAATGTTGACCTTCACATTTCCGCCTGCACTCGGCAGATCGGTCGTCAAGTCGGAGGAGCTCAAGACAATTGCCTAGAAGGAGCTTGACATGCGGTATGTGGGTTGCAAAAGCCGAACAACTTCCTGATGCACCAACAGGTACCATGGTACAGGCCGTACCAAACCCTACCATGACAAGAGGTTGCCAGGGTGCGTTGGTGGAAGGAGCGTTGCGTGTCTTGTGATGAGAGCCATCGTCTTAGGCCCCAGAACCCTTTAAACCGCAAGCCTTGAGCCCTAACTTCACTCTTAAACAAGGAAAGGATATGCTCCAGCTAGCCGTGCGTCGATGAGAGTTTGTGTGGTAGTGCCTGTAGCCCATGCTTGGAGTTGAGGACTCTAGGGGAAGCCCGTAAACAACACATCGTTATCCCCCCCTTTAAGGCTTACCTGATACGCTCACGCAACTCTCGGCGGACCGTCACCGCCCTGAGGTTCTTGACCCCGCCGGCCATTGTACCATGAGGAGCCCTTGTGTGAGTTCGGAGTTGACATCGAAGGCTACCTTCTTCAAAGCTGCAATATATGCTGCAGAGTTTAGAGGAGAGGGCGGAAGACCCCTCTGACTACCATGACCATGCAAAGACCATCATAAGAGACCCCTGATTGGAAAAGGGCTCAAGTAGAGGCCCCCTGGGCCGGTCCCTCTTTGTCAGTCTTCGAGTGCTTTTAGGCTTAGCTTCTTAGGTTGATATGGCAGCCACTGTACTCTCAATCATCGCTGTGGCCGATGCCGAAACCCTGCGCACTGCGCCATCTGCCCTCATGCCCAAAGTTGAGCCGAAACATTAAACCCTGGTAGCTTCGGCCCAGAAACCCCCAATCCTCGGAATCCTGGACAGGAACTCATGCTGAGAGCCTGGCATTGTGGCAGCTGGTTGGCTGGCTCGGGATCAGGGTGTGTAGTGGTTGCCGCCGGGGTCCTTCCAAAGTTCGGTTTCGGCTTCACCCCCGTCAAGCTGCCCATCAGACCGCATGGCAGGGGGCCTTGTGCCAGAAATACTCCTGTACGACAGACCAGGCTGGATTGAAGGGTGTTTGAGCCCAACACGCCTTACTTGAGCAATATCCCTGGGTCCCTGAGATCATACTGTTAAGGATCTCTGCATACTTTCAGGGAGATCACGCGTGTCAGGGGCATTGGTCTCCCTGGTGAGGTGGGGGATCGCCAGTCGCGAGTTTTGCCCCCTACCAACTCCAGCGTCACCGACGAAATAGAGCTGGCAAGCGAAGCCAAGATGTTGGCACCCAGCTTCCGACCCCCCCCCAGATCAGGGAATAGTAGTCAACACAGCTTCGGGGCATAACATGGTTGTTATGTGTAGTGAAAGGTGTCGCTAATATTCCAGAAGAAGCACTGACATGCCTTCTGTAAGCAAGGCCAGGACAGGTCAAAGACGCAAGCCCGTCCTCATGGCAGAAGATGAAAGAGTTTATATATAGAGTCTTCATAGCAGAATAGGGCTTCTGGTGAGTAGTGTTGCGCAAGAGCGCAGGGGAGATTACTGCGCATTTTCACGCCCCAATATTTGTGGTCTAATATCGAGTCACAGCCACCTGACCAGATTCACAGCCACCTCATGGCTGTCCTACGGCAATGTCCGACTTGAATTCGCTTTGATCAGAAGTTCATTGCTGACGATGTTTGATGTCCACCCAGGAAGGCTTGTTGCGAAGCTTAGGAGCCAAGAAAAGTATTTCGGGTCTCTACTGCTCAGGATCTAGGGATTGCTGTTCAGGGTGCGCTTTGGGATTCAAGTCCCGATGACATCAAACCTCTTGCAAGAAGATCCGTAACTGCACGATCGCGCAGACTGGCACAAAGTTCCACGACGCACAAGAAAGCAGCTGAAAAATGCAGAGACAGTTGAGGCTGGAGGTTCTCACCATCAAGGTGTCAGGCTTCAGGGTGCGGTTTTCGGGCGACTTGAGATGGTCTGGGCCTGAGCACTCCTCCTAAGGTTCCCGGGCTTAGGAAGAAGAGCGTGAGCGCTACCGATGCAGTAGCTGTATGTTTTCCAACGAAGAGGCTGCGGGGATGTCGGAAACTCCACTTTGGGGTTTTCGGCCAATTTGGGCGCGCACGTAGGCCTCAACGAAGTGAATGGCTTGCGGTGTTTTGGGCCAGGATCATTTCTGCCAAACCTGTTTGCACTAGTCCATGAAAGCAAAGTCTGCTATGTTTAGTTCAGCAAGCTGGTTCCAACAAAGACTCTACTTGCGAGACCTTCCTTGGTTAGGAGGACCCAATGAAGCCTTGCGTTTGAAAGGGTGCCACCCATTATGACGACTGGCAGACGCACTGAGATCATCCTGCAAATGAATGGGCAACGCCCTCCACCACCAACCAGTTTCTTCGGAAGGGCCGACTCCTTGATCTCCTGCAGTTTTGCAATACGCTCAAGGCTCTCCAGAGTTCCAATCGAGATTAGTTTTGCAATGGTGGCTGACTCTCGACCTCTTCTTGACGAGCCAACTTCGTCCAGAATCCTGCCTGCAGTTGGCTTGTTTGTCATTGCTTGCGGTTGACAACACCGAATGGGAACCCCCCTTGTCGGAAATAATGAACTATGATATCTTACCCTCCCTTGTTGTGGCCCCTTTGCCCTGGAGCTTACCACTTCCGCTTGCGTAAGTAGAAAAAGACGAACTGAACATCCAAGGAGGCAGAAAAGCCGGCTATGGGAGAGTGGCAGTGGGTCTGCTTCTGATGTGCGGCATGGCGATTCTTAGCGAACCACATCGACTCGCACCCCCAAGGGAATCGCGGGCAACAGAGGCTACGATGCTTGCTGCCCAAGGGTCCCAAGGCTCAGGGTCAGCAGGGTCAGGTTCCTGGGCAGATTGGTGGAATTCATTGAAGGAGGTCGCCTCCGACAAGATTGATGAAGCCGAAAAGTCGCAAAAAGCAAAGATGGCTGAGGACTGGCTTGACAAGAAGGCAGAGCAGGTTGAGAAGACGAATTGGAGCCAGGTTTCAAAGAATGTGTCGCAAAAAGCAAAGATTGCTGAGGACTGGCTTGACAAGAAGGCAGCGCAGGTTGAGAAGACGAATTGGAGCCAGGTTTCGAAGAATGTGTCGCAAAAAGCAAGACTTGCTGAGGATTGGCTTGACAAGAAGGCAGAGCAGGTTGAGAAGACGAATTGGAGCCAGGTTTCGAAGAATGTGTCGCAAAAAGCAAAAATTGCTGAGGACTGGCTTGATAAAAAGGCAGAGCAGGTTGAGAAGACGAATTGGAGCCAGGTTTCAAAGAACGTGTCGCAAAAAGCAAAAATTGCTGAGGACTGGCTTGACAAGAAGGCAATGCAGGTTCAGAAGACGAATTGGAGCCAGGTTCAAGGCACCATGTCCAATGACACCCAGCGCCTCTCACACCATTTCGAAGCACTGACAATCGATGAGACAGAACGCTTGCGCGCTAACATTAGCACTTACAAAGCCCGGGCACGACATCCGCGAGACGGGGATATAGAAATTGACTGGAGCTGTGCCGACAAGGTCTTGGTTGGCGCCGGACTTATAGCCGGGGCGACGCAGATCACAGTATTCAATCTTGTTCCCGCTTTTTTCCGGATCTTGGGATTTGCAGCTGAGGGAGTCACGGCTGACTCCCTCGCAGCAAAATGGCAAAGCTCTATTGGAAACGTCGAGAAAAGCAGCCTCTTTGCCATCCTGCAGTCCATAGAAGCTCGCCGGCATTTCCAATGTATGTTCATTGTTTCTTTATTAAAGTTTGCACATTCTGAACAACACAAGATCCAACAATGATGAGTTACTTTTGACACATGAGCAGTGTCAATTAATGTGCCGATTGCCACCTGGACAGTGCGCACCTGCACTGTCGACGTAGGAATGCATATTGACTCCAGATCTGTAGCAGTCCAGTAAGCTCCGTTCCGGGATCGAGCCCTCAATCTACCAAACCCCGCAATCTACCAAACCTCAGGCCATGGCCGGGATATCCTCCGAGAGCTATGTCTTGGTGGTTGCTGCTACCGAGGGCACCGGCATTACCTCTGCCGTTCCCATCTTAGCCTCTGGGACGAGCTAGCAGTATCTGCAATCCTTGCTTGTGCTTTTGCTGATGGTCTAGACTTCCCAAAATTCAAGAGCATTCTGCATGAATTGGCTCATGACAAGGAAGGGAGGCGGTTTCCGCTAGCATAGGGGCTGTCCGTTGAGTATTGCTAGACTCCGTGCGCCATGTGTCGTCATTTGTTATATTTCCTGGCCGTTTGCCTGCATTGGTCTCCTAACCAGTCGGACCGCTGCGCCAGTTGTACTCACCGTGTGCAGCCCCAAGTTGGACTGAACTTGGGAGCCCATGACCAATCGGCCGTTGCCTTTCGACCATTAAACTATAATGTTCCCAAAGCACGATTGCAGTTACTGAGGTGATGAAGGCCCGTAGATTACCTAAACCCCCAGACACCGATCCCCCTGTCAGCTCAGGAAAAGGTGTGCAACCCTCAAGAAATCCACGTCATCGGCTCTGGCGATCCAGTTGGCCGCTAGCCCAAGAACTTCATCATGCGGCTTGGCCAACATGGGTATGCTGCCATCCTGAGATGTCGTTCTTACCCTTCGGCACATATTCAGGTTTCCGGGTAGTTCTCTGAATTGGGTCCCTTCTTAGGTCCCCAAAACAGTACGGCACACTTAGAAAAAGCTCCCTGAAAGGGACCCTACTCCCAGAGAACCACCCAAGCATCGGCTCATACCGGGTTTGAGGTCTGGCTTGGGTGGCGGGTTTGGGGTTTAGGGTTTCGAGTGCTGGGCAATTGCATATAGCGGGGCTGCAGTTAGAAGCCCAGGAAGCTTGAATATCTCCAACGGCACTTTGTGCAGGAAATGTGCATCCCTTTCTCTACGCAGTTGTACTGGGGCCCGATGACCTCGTTCTTCCTTGGCAGCCAGCGTTGTTCTTACTAAACCTTCCTTTGCCAAGAGAAGTCTAGAAGGTTCTGGGGGCCTCTACATACCACTTATGCAACGCAAATCTGTGTTTAAACCGGCCTGAACCCGACCCCAGGCGGGCGTTTCTCCAAACCTCCACACCACTCAGGAACCAAGTGACTGCCTGCTTTCTCTGGCTGTGAGCCACCAATATCGCGAGCGACTCGCTCCGGTTGGGGCACACTCCAACAGTGAGCTGAAGCATGCTTACTCATGGCAGCTTTAGTTTACTACGGCGAGTATTGTCTTATTCAGTCTTCCTGTTCTTATGTTGTCCGAGCGGGTTCCAGCTTACATTTCTGTTCCGTTCATGGCTGGCCGTGCGCCGCCGTAATGCAGAACTGCTGCTAGGCTACGTGCTAAAGCTGGATGTTGGAGCGGGGCGCAGGTCCAACAGCAGGCTGGAACTCACATATAGCATGCCATGATAGTGCTGTTCCTCAAGTCGAGATAGCGTCAGGCTGCTGACCTATCGCCTTCACCCGATGTTGACAGGCGCGTATGTACAGTGTGCAGCTAGCTGTCAAAAAAGTGCAGCGCTGAAGAATCTGACCCTGCCGTAAAGCGATTAGTAGCCTTGGAGCAACAGGTAGCTTTCTGAAGGTTCTAGGACGCGAGAGCGGAATTTCAATCGCCGTGTTTTGGATTGCCTGCATTAAATAATCATAGATTTGGGAGTCGAGTCTACTACCAACTATTGCACGGACTTAGAGATCGGGGGGTGCGAGTAGCTTCACTCATGGCAAGCTTAGCAGCATCCTGTTTGACCGTCCGTATGGCGCACGACTTCCCACAACGTCGATCATGGATTCTAGAATCGACAGTATCTAGAAGAAGGAGGTGGCTGTTACTGAGTAGATGTCCTGGCGACTTGCTATGACACGCCAAGGAACGGCGTTAGGGTTCACAGCTTTTGGCGTTGCAGCTTTGCTTTGCTCGAAACTGAACTATGTCTCCAGGTCCTAGGTTTCAGAGGTGCCTGCCAAGGAAGATTACGTTCTTCGGGATTCTAAGACTCTAAGTTCCTGAATTGGCTGACAGGGGATATTTCCCAATCCATAATCGAGATCTAGGATATGGAAACCTCACACTGCGCAATGCGCTTTGGGTTTGTCGTTGATCTAGGCAGACCTGTGCTCGCACTGATTGGCTGGGGATTACTGATTGCGACAGAGTGTTGAGAGGTATATGTATATGTAGACCATAGAGGAAGATAGGACTAGAGTAGAGCAAAGGGGAGACCATTACTACCTCTTCGGTCCTCAGACCAAGCCCTCCTGAATCCTGACATCATCCCAGAGCCTCTGATGTGCCAAGGACGCCGAGCAAGAGGCCTTGCCTGGGAGAGGGATTTCAAGACAGGCGTAGCGGCGGTTAGCGGCGTCGCCTGCGCGCGCACCGGAAAGCCAATGCTAGTATGAGCACAACTCTGGCCGCCCAGCTTTCAGCTCCGGTGGTTGTGTTGAGCCGCTGTGGTGTGGGGCTGAATAGCTGGCCAATGTCTGTTCAAAAGGCACCACAGATTATGTGCAAGATGCCTGGAAGACTTCAACTCAACTTTTTATCAGGCTTAGCATCAAGGCTTGTAACATCCTGCACAGAGTCAGGCTCGTCACATGTTCGCACCTGACTGCTCTGAACCGCACAGAGCAATCGACTGGCCAATTCATGCTGTGAAGACTTCTCCGAATGCTAATGCGAGTGAAGAATGACTAGTACTGGAAGAAAGGCTTTTCAACGAGAACCCCCGTTGACCTGATTACGGAGTCCCTCCTTTTTACCTATGGCAGAGAAACAAGTCTTTCACTGCCGACTCCGACTGTCCCGGTGTGGGAGCCTGAACTACCAACCTAAACCTAAACGCCCCCCGAGCTGTAAACTGGAGTACGGACAGTAGGATAGGAACCCCCAGAGCACGGCAACCTGGCGATGGGAAGTTTCTAGGAGCATTGCAAGGCCTACCGGATCAAAAGCGGTTTTTTGGCAGATCCTGCTGTGAGCAAGCAACCCGGCAGCAAATCATCGGCTGTATGAAGCTTTAGGAGGTTTAGGACTTCAGGGTTTGCGGCAAGTCAGATGTCAAAAAGGGACATGAATAGTTGCGTAGTGCTATTGGTCCTGAGGGCTCCCGATTCTAATGAGACGGGTCCTGCCTCATGGTTTCGGCCTCTAGCGTATGTTCATGAGGCCAGGGGAGCAAAACAAAGCCAGCAATCTTACAGCAGCTCTCCTTAAAAGTGAAAAACTTCGAAACTAAGGAAACACGAGGACCCAATTTTGCCGGTAGAGGGGTCGCTTGTGACTTCTGTCGGGTGTCACTTCTGACTTCTGTGCCGGTGTCACTTGTGACTTCTCAGTCTCTGCCCCTACAAAATGCTGCAATGTCGCGACTTTTGGATCCCTAAACCCTGCACCCCAAACCC